TCCATAGCTTAATTAACTTAATTATAGGAAAAATTTAATACTTCATTTTAAAATGATCGATTTGAAAAATTTCCAGATTATTCCTGATATTTGAATAATTATGAATTTATGTTTGAATGAATGATTCAATACCTATCTATTGATGGCTATAAAGAGCCACTTTATATTGAACAATCCAACTGTTAGGATTATGACGGGAAAATTGTTGTTCATAGCAATTTGTTTGCTACCGATTTATGTGGAGACTAAGGTGAGTGGAAATTAATATTCAAATTATCTCTTCAATATTCCTTCCTTCATTTCATTTCAGCGTAATTACAATATTGATATCGAATATATCACCCCCGTTGTCACTGATGTCTTCTTTGTCAAGTCCATGAATTTTTCTTTGACAAATAATAAAGCGGCCAATATGGATTTGATTTTAAATCGGAATCTCACTAAATTCCCCATAAGAGCATCGGTATATTTGTTGACAAAGGGTAAACGTCGCATTTCTTTATTCCAGGTGGACTTTGAAGCTTGTCAGGCCCTTAAGGACACGGCTCCTAATAAATTTTTGGCGGTATTCAAAAAGGAACTTTTACGAACATCGAATATTCCAAACCAATGTCCGTTCATTGAGGTATGAGCAAGATTCCATTAAAAATGCTCATTACATATCTGATTACCAAGCCATTATTGTAACAAGGTCATGTAGCAGGAAATAAGTAATTATTCTTTGGCCAAAAATAAATCCACAAATATAACGACATATTACTCCCGGTGACATGACCTTATTAAAATAAGGGATTCGTAATCCGGCTTTTAATGAGTATTTTTCCGTGATTGGATTGGGTAATCAAAAATATTTTTTCTCTATTTCTTTTAGAACGTTGTCTATAGGGCCCGCAACTATACCGTCAATGAAGATGCCTTTCCAGCTATTTTACCCGACACAGCTTGGCAATTTCAATTGAATTTGAATATGAAAGATTTTAGTACTGGCTTCATAAGAATTTCCGGTCGTGTTCGCAGCACTGGGTAGATGGTTTCAATACGATTTGGAAATACAACATTGTTGTAGAGGTGAAGAACGTATATTAAAGGAGAATATATTTTTGGAGGCAAAAAATGTATGTTTCAAAGAAAAGTGTTTTTTTTCGCTTTGCTATCAATAGGATTTATTTTTAATAGAAGAGAGGACGAATATCGGCTAAATACTATAAAATATGGCCGAAACACTAGAAACATAGGGTAAATGTACATGTCCATTTTTATACCCTAGACCGTAGAAAGGAGCGTATATTAACTTTGTCAAAGTATATATGTTCATAATCAGCATAAAATTCTAAGTCGATTTAACGATGTCCGTCTGTCTGTCTATCCCTCCGTCTGTTGAAATCTTGATACAGCCCACATTATTTCACGTAGAGCTTCTAAATTTGGCAGAACAATTTGTATTGTGTCTAGGATGGTTGGTATTGAAAATGAGATATATCGGTCCACTTTTTGGTATAATCCCCACGTAACGGTAACTCCCGATATTCGGTATTTTGTTGATTTATGCTACATTTTTTCACTGATTTGTCTAAAAATTGGTATCTGAAGGTCATAATGGGTTCTAGCTCCAGCGGCGAAACATTTTATGTACAGGGTGAGATGAAAAAACTGGAGCCAACTTCAGACTGCTGTCATTTCTAAGCCACTCGTCCGACAGCTATTGAAATTATTCTAGTGACAGCTTATTATATTGTTTACAAGGGTACAAAAGTATTTTGGGCAGAATTTTCCAGAAAAAAAAAGTTATTCGTGATGGAATTCAAGCGCGATAGTGTGATTTCTTTATATTTGGCTGGAAAACCACAAGTGGCTATCGTTAGAGCATTCCAGAATTTAAATGTGAATAAATCTTTTGTGTCTCGAACCATCGCTCGTTACCGTGATACTGGTAGCGTAGCCCGACGTTAAGGAAGTGGACGAAAGAAAACAGCAACATCATCAGAAATGGTTCGAAAAGTAAAGAAGTGACTTGGTCGAAACCCGCGTCGCAGTGGCCGAAAAATGGCTCGTGAGCTGAACATATCGCACTATTCCATTCGGTAAATATTGAAAAATGAGCTCGGGGTAAAGCCATTAAAATTCCAAAAAGTGCAAGAACTTACACCACAATAGAAAGAAAATAGACTCAAAAGAGCTAAAAAGTTGCTTCGCTTGGCCGAAAGTGGTGACCTGCCAAATTTGGTTTTCTCGGATGAGAAAACATTCGTTGTCCAGCAGTTTGTAAACAAACAAAATGATCGTGTTTACTTGCCAAAGGGGTCACCTTCACCTTCGGTTGGCCACAAAAACTCAAGCGCCGACCATGATGTGATGGTGTGGCCCGCCATAACAGCCAATGGTCGCTCTCCACTTGTATCAATCGACCGTGGCATCAGAATAAATGCCGAATATTATCGCGAACATAATCTGGAAGGTATATTAAAGCCTTGGGCACGCAAACATTTTGGCCACACACCTTGGACATTCCAACAGGACTCAGGACCATCGCACTCAGCACGCGCCACCAAAAAATGGTTACAAAATCAGCTTCCTTGCTTAATTTTCAGCGTACAATTGCCACCAAAATCTCCGGATACCAATCCGTTGGACTATTTTGTCTGGAGTATTTTGGAAAGCAAGTGTCGATCACCTCAAGCAAGCGCTTCGCCGGCAATGGGCCAAATTACCGCAGAGCAACATTCGGGTAGCGTGTGACGGCTTCACTGGCCGTAGAAGGTCATCATTCGTGCTAAAGGTGACGAACAAATCTAAACTTATTCTAAAATTTGTTGCTATTTCCGTCATTTTGCTTTCATTCAATAAAATTTAAAAAAAAGGACTTTGTTGCATTTTTTATCTCACCCTGTATAGGTCCACGATTTTGTATAGCCCCCATATAACGGTACCTTCCGATATTCAGTATTTTGATGATTTTTGCACATTTTTCCATGGATTTGTCGTGTGGTGAAGTATTGTATGTATAGGCCCATGTTTTGGTATAGCCCTCATATAACGTTACCTCCCGATAATCGGTATTTTGATGTTTTTTGCAACATTTTTTTTTTCACGGATTTGTCTAAAAATTGGCATTTGAAGGTCATAATAGGTTCTAGCTCCGGCGGCGAGACATGATATGTATACATCAATGTTTTGGTATAACCTCCATATAACAGTACCTTTCCATTGTATAAAAATTGGTATTTGTAGTTCTTAATGGGTTCTAGGTCCGGTGGCTGAACATTGAATATTAAGTTCCACGTATTCCTATAGCGCACATATAACGATACCCACCGATATTCGGTATTTTGATAATCTCAGTCACATTTACCCACGAACCAACGATTGTTTCAATTATTATAGAAGATTTGGTAGATGACAATCTTTGAAGTATAAAATATCCTACAGAGGTTCCTGTTTTGGTATGGCCCCAATATAACGGCATAACCCACTTTTTGTTTTTTTTTTGAAAAATTTAACAGCATTATCCAAATGGTCTTACTGGTATTTGCAGTTTAAAGTGGAACACGTCAAAATGTTTTCTTTACCCAGTGGAGAAGGCTATTAAAAGTTTTACCCTCCGAACTTCAGCTATCCCTTCACCTAATATCTAATTATGCATTATTTAGTATTTTTCGTACAATTATGGTACACATTTCCAAAACCACCACCCTATTTCAATTTTAGATACTAACAAAAAACACAATGTACCCAATACCAATTTTAGTACCATTTAGTACTTTTCGTACCAACATAGGACGTATTTCCGAAACCATCTTCATATGTCCTGGCTACGCATGAACAGCGACCTTAATACCAAATTTCAGATTACAAGCACAATCTGTTCACCCAATTCCAAATGGTACCAAATATAGTACTATTTAGTACTATTCGTACATATGGAGATTGTTTTGCAAATGTGTACTTTACATTACCAAAACAATTTCCATATCACAACCACAGACACCAACAGTGCCACGTACGAGTATATTAAATTTCAGGATTTCAGCTCTATCCCTTCACACAAAACCACAATTAGTACTATTCTAGTAGTTTCGAGCAATTATAGTACACATTTTAAAAATCAACTCCATATTTCAACCCTAGTCACCAACAGTGACATCCACATTAAATTTCAGGGTATCATCCAATTTCATCCAATACCGAATGTAGTACCACTTAGTACTTTTCGAACTATTACAGTATCCTTTTCTGAAACCACCTCTATATGTCCAGGATACGCATGAACAGCGACCCTAACACCAATTTTCAGATTTCAAGCACTATCTGTTCACCCGATGCCAAATTGTAGCAAATATAGTACTATTTAGTACTTTTCGTGCAATTGTAGTTCACATTTTCAAATAACGTATTTATCACAATCCTACCACCAAAAGAGACCCCAATACAAAATTTCAAAATTCCTTCTTCATCCCTTCATCCTTAATCAAACTGTTCCAAATTTAGTACAGTTTTCACACTCAATAAACATTTCCAAAACCACCTCCCAATCCCTAATTTGCTTAACTCCGATGCAAATTTCCAAACTACCAAATAGCCGAATCATGTGTCTCATATTTTTAGCTCTACCTTCATAATCTACTCAGTTTTTCCTGTAATTTCGAAAAAAAAAAAAAAAATAATTCTATCATACTATTTTTGTCTTAGCAACAAACTTAGATAACATCATCTCCAATTGGCATATATATTTTTCCAAATCCGGATATTCGAGATCACACCAATTAAAATCGAATTATTTTAATGCTAATTAGACGCTTCATTTTCAAATTTATTTTTTAATTTATTTTTTAAAACTTAATGGATATAATTAGTTAATTGTAGATCAATATTTATGCGATTTTCAAAAGTGCAAACACATTTTTTTTTTCAAAAAAAAAAAAATTTTAAGTAAAATAAATCATATTGTTGCAAGCATGAGGGGAATATATTGGATTTGTGGGTTCATCCTGGTGACCTGTGCTATGGCTAGGGTAAGTTGTGTTTCGAATTGAGTGAAGTGAAAATATATCTCTTTCCGAATCTTTGAAAACTATATTTATCTCTTCCATGCTCTATATTTTTTTCTTGCTCATCTCACACAGCGCGATTACACCATTGAACTGGAGAATATTACCCCCGTCATCACGGGCATTCCATTTTTGAAGTCACTTAATTTTTCTCTTACCAATCAAAAGGCTGCCAACATGGATGCCATGTTCAATGTCAAAGTCAACAAATTACCAGTTATTGCCTCGGTGTTTCTCCTGACTAAGGGTAAACGTCGCCTCAACGTATTCCAGATGTCGGTAGATATATGTGAAGCTCTCAACAATACGGCGCCCAATAAATTTCTATCAGTATTTAAAGATGAAATGTTGCGAACATCGAATATACCAAAACATTGTCCTTTGCAGGAGGTAGGTATGGAGATTTTCAAAATCAATAATGTAATTGAAATGTGTTTATGTTCCAGAATGTCCTCTATTCCGTACGCAACTATACCGTCAACGATGAATCCTATCCCCCGATTTTACCTGATGCCACATGGCAGTTTGAAATAAATATCAATAATGGCAACAATAAAAATCTAAAAACTGGCATTGTGAAAAATTACAGGTCACATTCGCCGGATATAAAATATATACAGTAACCAGATTTCAAACCAATTTTTTAGGTTGCATTGTAAAATGTGTAGTACTATCAATTAAACCTAGAGAATATATACCACAATCGGATGGCTTATTTAGTTCTATGGATACATGGCATTGAAATCTGTATAAGTGAATTGGATTATTCTGCTGGACCAAATTTAGACTAGATCAGATACTTGATTCGTTTTATATGAGATACATAAAAGAGTACCGAAATAACTGACTGAAAATCAACGCTCAGACGAAACGCCTGAAGCTAGAAAAATTGAAACAAGTAAAAAAGCAGTAAGTTCCGAAACTTTGAATACCCTCCACCATTTGGAACGAATTAGAAAATTTTCAAAAAAGAATAAAATCCATTAAAAATTCTTTTAAAATCTTTAAAATATCTAATATAGGAAGGTGCCGATATATGGGGGATATACGATATTGTGGACCTATATAGATAATTCTCTGCCGAGGTATAAAGTACCCACAAGGAACTACTTGTGTGGATTTTCAGACAATCCCATTGAAAACTGTGGCTAACATCATCAAAATACCGAATATCGGGAGTACCGTTATATGGGGCTATACGAAATCATGGACCGATATAGCCCATCTTCGAACTTGACCTGCCTGCAGACAAAAGAGAGATCTGTGCAAAATTTAAGCTTCCTATCTTAATTCGTTTAGACTGTAGCGTGATTACAACAGACGGACGGACAGGGCTAAATCGTCTTAGAATTTTACGCTGATCAAGAATATACATGATTTGTTGGGTCTAAAATGATTATTTCGATGAGTTACAAACGGAATGACGAACTTAACATACCCTCCATACTATGTATTAGCTAGAATTCTGAATGCAAGAGTGCAGGATAGATGTACCAAACGATTTCCGGAAATTCGAATTTTAAGGTTACGAAAAATTCTAAAATGGTACCATTTGGTATTTAAATATAACTAAAATGTACTAAAAAGTCAATACTTTATATCAGACAAGCGGAACGGATAGAGTGCCCGATACATGTACCAAAGAGTTTTTGGAACTTCGAACGAAAGGTTACGAAAAGTACTAAAAGTGTACCATTTGGTACAATGTGAACGGGTAGAGATTGGGTGAAGGAATTAAGCTGAAATTCAGAAATTCGATATAGATGTTACTGTTGGTGCCTGTGGGTTTTGGAAAGGTGTACGGCAACTAAGTCAAACGCCATCATTTTTACATTTTTTTTTTAATTTTATTGAATGAAAGCAAAAAATGTCGGAAATAGCATCAAATTTTAGAATAAGCTTAGATTTGCTCGAATTGGTCACCTTTGGCACGGATTATGGCCTTCAAACGGCTATTACACGCTGCCCGAATGTTGCTCTGCTGTATTTTGGCCCATTCTCGGCGAAGCGATTGCTTGAGGTGATCGAGACTTTGGTATTTTTTAGTGCCAACCTTGCTTTACAAAATAATCCAGACACAATAGTCCAACGGATTGGTAACCGGAGATTTTGGTGGCCATTGTGCGCTGGAAATGAAGCGAGAAACCTCATTTTGTAACCATTCTTGGGTGGCGCGTGCTGAGTGCGTTAGTGCTGAGTTCTGTTGGAATGTCCAAGGTATGCGGCCAAAATGTTTGCGTGCCCAAGGCTTTTATTCACCCTCCAGAATATTTTCGCTATAATATTAGGAATTTATTCTTTTGCCACGGTCGATTAAGTCCCTTAGGTCTAAAATTTTTTCTATAGTAAAAAATTCGCCAGACCCTTGGGCCCATATATATAATATACATTTTAGAACACACAAAGTTTATATATCCTTGATCAGAATAAAATTCTATGTCGATTTAGCGATGTCCATCCGTCTGTGGAAATCATCCTAGCTTCCGAACGAAATGAAGTAGATTGATAAAATTTTACTCAAATGTGTATTATGTCTGCAGGACTTTTGGTAATGAATATGGGCAATTTAGGTCCACGGTTTGGTATAGCCCATATAACGGTACCTCCCGATATTCGCATTTGAAATTCTAATGGCTTTTGACAAAAGTTGTACGTGCAGGTCCACGTTGCCATATAGACACTAATCTTAATTAATTTAAGATTTTAACAGAATTTTTAACAAATTTTATTTTTCTGAAAAAAAAAAAAATCCCAAATTCATTCCAAATGGTGGAGGGTATTCAAAGATCGGCCCGATCGAACTTACAGTATTTTTACTTGTTTTTTTACCGAATCTATTTTCTCTTTCTTGTGTATGAGCAATGAAAAGTAAAATAACTATTTTTTGTTTATTTAAATATATTTTTTTATTAATATTATAATACAAAAATATGTTTGCATGTTAATAATCTATATAATTAAAATTAGTTTATATTGTTTATATATATGCAGATATATAAAATAATTTATAAAAATTAACTTAAAAAAGTAAAATTTATGTCTAGTTTTTCTTTTCAACATTCTGCATTGATGGTATACTATTTGTTAATTTTATTTTCTATTTTCTTATATATTTAAAAAAAATATAAGATTAATAATAATTGCAACAGTTTTAGATATATATAATAATTTGTTGTTAATAATATAAAAATAATTGTATGAAAAATGTCTTATTTGTTTAAAAAATGCATAATCAAAATGTGCGTTGTTTAATAGTAATAATTTTAATTATTTAAAAATATATGCATTCTAACAATGTATAGCTATGGAAGTCGTTTTTAAAACTTATGAACAAAAATTTAAATAGTTTTTTTTGTTGGAAAAAAATTATATTTTTTTGTAAAAAGTATTGCAGCACTAAAACTTAACTAATCGTATTTTATGGTTTAAACGCTTCGCTTTGCGCCAGCAACTCTTCATTGCTGCTCCACCTCAAAGTCGATCTCTAAACGCTTTTTTCGGTTTCTTACAGAACATGTTACGACAATTGCAAGCGAACACAAAGAAGGTTACGAAGAATACAACAATCGATGCCAAAACCAAGGCCACCGTTGTTGTCTGATCGTAGGTGTAGGTGGGATCCAATTTGTGATCTTGTGGCAGCAATTGAAAGTCGACTAGCACTTGGGTACCATTCGGTGGTGGACAGGGCTGTTGTACTATAATCTCTTGGTGTTGCACCTAAACGGGAGAGAGGACAAATCATGTCAAAAATATATCTTAAATTCTGATTTTTCCTATCTAGAATTTTTTTCTAAGTTCGCCAGAATCTTGACCCCAGACCCTTGGGCTGCAATGTTTTTCTATAGAAAAAAATTCTCCAGAACTTGGACTGCAATGTTTTTCTATAGAAAAAAAAATCGTCAGATCTTGGGCTGCAATGTTTTTCTTTAGAAAAAATCGCCAGAATCTTGGGCTGCAATGTTTTTCTATAGAAAAAAATTACACCGAGCTTGGGCTGCAATGTTTTTTATAGAGAAAAAATTCAACAGACCCTTCGATTCAATTTTTTCTGTAGAAAAAAATTCGCCGTAGCCTGGGCTTCAAGTTTTTTTTCGATGAAAAGAATTTCTGCAGACCCTTGGGTTCAATTTTTTTCTATAAAAAAATCCCCAATGTTTATCCATAGAAAAGAATTCACCAGACCCTTGGGCTGCAATGTTTTTCTCTAGAAAAAATTCACCAGACCCTTGGGCTGCAATGTTTTTCTTGGGCTGCAATGTTTTTCTCTAGAAAAAATTCACCAGACCCTTGGGCTGCAATGTTTTTCTATAGAAAAAAATTCGCCAGACCCTCGGGTCCAAGTTTCTTCTATAGAAAAAAATTCGCCAGACCCTCGGGTCCAAGTTTCTTCTATAGAAAAAAATTCGCCAGACCCTCGGGTCCAAGTTTCTTCTATAGAAAAAAATTCGCCAGACCCTCGGGTCCAAGTTTTTTCTATAGAAAAAAATTCGCCATACCCTCGGGTCCAAGTTTTTTCTATAGAAAAAAATTCGCCATACCCTCGGGTCCAAGTTTTTTCTATAGAAAAAAATTCGCCAGACCCTCGGGTCCAAGTTTTTTCTATAGAAAAAAATTCGCCAGACCCTCGGGTCCAAGTTTTTTCTATAGAAAAAAATTCGCCAGACCCTCGGGTCCAAGTTTTTTCTATAGAAAAAAATTCGCCAGACCCTCGGGTCCAAGTTTTTTCTATAGAAAAAAATTCGCCAGACCCTCGGGTCCAAGTTTTTTCTATAGAAAAAAATTCGCCAGACCCTCGGGTCCAAGTTTTTTCTATAGAAAAAAATTCGCCAGACCCTCGGGTCCAAGTTTTTTCTATAGAAAAAAATTCGCCAGACCCTCGGGTCCAAGTTTTTTCTATAGAAAAAAATTCGCCAGACCCTCGGGTCCAAGTTTTTTCTATACAAAAAAATTCGCCAGAACCTCGGGTCCAAGTTTTTTCTATACAAAAAAATTCGCCAGACCCTCGGGTCTAAGTTTTTTCTATACAAAAAAATTCGCCAGAACCTCGGGTCCAAGTTTTTTCTATAGAAAAAAATTCGCCAGACCCTCGGGTCCAAGTTTTTTCTATAGAAAAAAATTCGCCAGATCCTCGGGTCCAAGTTTTTTCTATAGAAAAAAATTCGCCAGACCCTCGGGTCCAAGTTTTTTCTATATAAAAAAATTCGCCAGACCCTCGGGTCCAAGTTTTTTCTAAAGAAAAAAATTCGCCAGACCCTCGGGTCCAAGTTTTTTCTAAAGAAAAAAATTCGCCAGACCCTCGGGTCCAAGTTTTTTCTATAGAAAAAAATTCGCCAGACCCTTGGGTCCAAGTTTTTTCTATAGAAAAAAATTCGCCAGACCCTTGGGTCCAAGTTTGTTTCGATCGAAAGAATTTCGGCACACTTTGGGGTTCAGTATTTTCTCGATAGAAAAAATTCGCCAGACCCTAGGGTCCAAGTTTGTTTCGATCGAAAGAATTTCGGCACACTTTGGGGTTCAGTATTTTTTCGATAGAAAAAATTCGCCAGACCCTGGGGTATATGTTATAATTTTTTTCTATAGAAAAAAAAACGTCCGATATTTGGGTCCAATTTGTTTCTATTGAAAAAGATTCGCCAGCCCCTTGGGTCCAAGAAAAAATCAGGGTTTTCCTTCCTCACCTGTTTGTTACGGCATAGCTGTAATCCTGCCGAATTTGCCAAGGTCTCGGCACTATATTCATCCTGTACCAGAACCGGTAATAGCCATTTTTCAGGTGATATCAACTCCGACCATGACCAGATTTTCGAGACATTCTTTGGATGTATGGAATATCCTCCGACGGCGGTAAGACCCAACGAAATAAGAGTATTTAGTATTGTCGATCCAACCTTGCTGGGCATAAGGTGGGCACAGAATATTGCCAATGTTTGGATGACCGTCAAATACAGCAGCATATAACCTAGGGGAGGGGATAATTATTTACTTAGGACACTCAGAGAGAGAGAGAGAGAGAGAGAGAGAGAGAGAGAAGGAAATTCGCTTGAATCCACATACCCATATACAAATAGATACCAGTATCGCTGCTGGTACTGTAGGTATACAAACCGGCCATGCTATGGGCCGGTAAAAGATATGCCAACCATATACACAAACTGGGGAACAAACCAGCCAAACTCTGTGGAGAGAAGATTAGAAATTATTATTTCTTCTTGTTGGTATATCCAAGGCTCCTGACATACCTGTACAATAATATATAGGGATCTTGAGTATAGTCCTAATCTTAAATCTCTTTCGGCATGACGCCGATCTTCTTGGGTATCCCTAATGGTTAACATTAGCAGAGGCCAATACATTAACGCCATGACACAGTGGTGATAACCCAAACGATCGTTGTATGTCAGTTGGGGATCCGAGGCAGGTACATCCCAAAATATGCAGCCAATGCAAAGGGAAATCACAGCTGCCGATATTAGTTTGCTTATCCAGGTGAGCAGAGAGCCCGGTTGTTTGTAGGCCGCAAAACGTTTAATCAGAGCCTTCATTTGGCCAAAGAAACCGGCCTTTCGTACAAAATTTGGCAGTGAGGCGGGTGGGGCCGCCAAGGGGGGTTCGGAATTTATTTGGTCCCAGGAATTTGCCAACGACTCGATACGGGCTGATGATTCCAGTAATGCGGCAGCGGACAGATCGTCCAGTGTCACCAAATCCACTAGAAGAGAGAGAGGGAGAGAAATTAAAAATAGTTTAGAGGGGGAAGGGGTTCCATAAGCTCTCTTAAACTCACAGTAATAATCTGCTGGATTTTTAAAGGGCGGACAGGGATAACCCAGTTCTCCCATGTGCCTTGGCAAATCCGAACGACTGCCGGAGAAAACTGTACGTCCCCCGGACAGCAGCAGGACCCCGGAACACATGGACAAAATTTCAAATGTGGGTGGTTGGAGGGTCATTATGACTATCCGGCCACCACTGCACCATTGACGCAAATATTCCACAAGGAAGAAAGTATCGAATATATCCATATTCGATGTGACTTGATCCAAAATTAAAATCGATGACTGGGCCAGTAGCTGGCAGGCCACGCTAAGGCGTTGTTTTTCCGAATGAGTCAGCGAGGAGACATTAGAGGCCCGCACAGTGGTCAAACCCAGATCCTCGATAAGGACATCCATCTGAAAAGCATAAATTATATTAATTTAATTTTTCAGAATGATTATATCCATAACTTACCCTCTCTTTTAAATCACTCCGGTCCATGGGACCCCTCAGGGTGGCATGGAAATTCAATGTACACTGTACACTCATCCGGGGATCCAGCGAGGACACACTTAAAGCAGGCACATAACTACACAACTCCCTAAGGCCACGACGATTTATCTGCTGGCCATTGATGAGGATCTCACCGCCGATCCTTTCATTCAAACCGGCCAGACATTCTGTCAGAGCTGTGCCCTCTTTTTGTGATGTCGCCATAATGGCAAATAAATCTCCGGCCTTGGCTTGCAGCGAAACACCCCTCAGACAGGGATTCACATCCAGACAGTGGACCTGTATATTAGGGTAGACCAAACCTATTTCGGAGCGTTTACGTTGTGACACACCACCATAATTCGAAATGTGACTACCGCCATTCGCGTGTTCCATGTGATGGTGACGATTGCGTGAAGTACCATATATACGGGATTCAGCTGCTCCGCCCCCACCACCACCGCCGCCACCATAGTCATAGACATCATTGCCACCAGCACTGGCCAGAAGATCCGCTTCACTGTGCGAACGATGGCCATAATGTTTGCCATTAGGCATATGGTGATGCTGGGGATGATGGCTATTTACATGGGTACCAACTGCAAGGATAAGATAACTCTATTAGTTCTTTTTGAAAGTCCACATTTCGCCGACATTCAGTTTTTTCTATAGGAAAAAATTTGACGACCTTTAGGTCCAAGTTTTTTCTATAGAAAAAAATTCGCCGATCTTTAGGTCGAAGTTTTCTCTATAGAAAAAAATTCGCCAGACCCTTGGGTCCAAGTTTTTTCTATAGAAAAAAATTCGCCAGACCCTTGGGTCCAAGTTTTTTCTATAGAAAAAAATTCGCCAGACCCTTGGGTCCAAGTTTTTTCTATAGAAAACAATTCGCCAGACCCTTGGGTCCAAGTTTTTTCTATAGAAAACAATTCGCCAGACCCTTGGGTCCAAGTTTTTTCTATAGAAAACAATTCGCCAGACCCTTGGGTCCAAGTTTTTTCTATAGAAAAAAATTCGCCAGACCCTTGGGTCCAAGTTTTTTCTATAGAAAAAAATTCGCCAGACCCTTGGGTCCAAGTTTTTTCTATAGAAAAAAATTCGCCAGACCCTTGGGTCCAAGTTTTTTCTATAGAAAAAAATTCGCCAGACCCTTGGGTCCAAGTTTTTTCTATAGAAAAAAATTCGCCAGACCCTTGGGTCCAAGTTTTTCTATAGAAAAAATTCGCCAGACCCTTGGGTCCAAGTTTTTTCTATAGAAAAAAATTCGCCAGACCCTTGGGTCCAAGTTTTTTCTATAGAAAAAAATTCGCCAGACCCTTGGGTCCAAGTTTTTTCTATAGAAAAAAATTCGCCAGACCCTTGGGTCCAAGTTTTTTCTATAGAAAAAAATTCGCCAGACCCTTGGGTCCAAGTTTTTTCTATAGAAAAAAATTCGCCAGACCCTTGGGTCCAAGTTTTTTCTATAGAAAAAAATTCGCCAGACCCTTGGGTCCAAGTTTTTCTATAGAAAAAAATTCGCCAGACCCTTGGGTCCAAGTTTTTTCTATAGAAAAAAATTCGCCAGACCCTTGGGTCCAAGTTTTTTCTATAGAAAAAAATTCGCCAGACCCTTGGGTCCAAGTTTTTTCTATAGAAAAAAATTCGCCAGACCCTTGGGTCCAAGTTTTTTCTATAGAAAAAAATTCGCCAGACCCTTGGGTCCAAGTTTTTTCTATAGAAAAAAATTCGCCAGACCCTTGGGTCCAAGTTTTTTCTATAGAAAAAAATTCGCCAGACCCTTGGGTCCAAGTTTTTTCTATAGAAAAAGTTTTTTCTATAGAAAAAAATTCGCCAGACCCTTGGGTCCAAGTTTTTTCTATAGAAAAAAATTCGCCAGACCCTTGGGTCCAAGTTTTTTCTATAGAAAAAAATTCGCCAGACCCTTGGGTCCAAGTTTTTTCTATAGAAAAAAATTCGCCAGACCCTTGGGTCCAAGTTTTTTCTATAGAAAAAAATTCGCCAGACCCTTGGGTCCAAGTTTTTTCTATAGAAAAAAATTCGCCAGACCCTTGGGTCCAAGTTTTTTCTATAGAAAAAAATTCGCCAGACCCTTGGGTCCAAGTTTTTTCTATAGAAAAAAATTCGCCGACCTTTAGGTCGAAGTTTTTTCTATAGAAAAAAATTCGCCGACCTTTAGGTCGAAGTTTTTTCCATAGAAAAAAATTTGGCGACATTTAGGTCCAAGTTTTTTCTATAGAAAAAAATTCGCCGACCTTTAGGTCTAAGTTTTTTATAGAAAAAAAATTCGCCGACCTTTAGGTCCAAGTTTTTTTCTATAGAAAAAAATTCGCCGACCCTAAGGTCCAAGTTTTTTCTATAGAAACAAATTCGCCGACCTTTAGGTCCAAGTTTTTTCTATAGAAAAAAATTCGCCGACCTTTAGGTCCAAGTTTTTTCTATAGAAAAAAATTCGCCGACCTTTAGGTCCAAGTTTTTTCTATAGAAAAAAATTCGCCGACCTTTAGGTCCAAGTTTTTTCTATAGAAAAAAATTCGCCGACCTTTAGGTCCAAGTTTTTTCTATAGAAAAAAATTCGCCGACCTTTAGGTCCAAGTTTTTTCTATAGAAAAAAATTCGCCGACCTTTAGGTCCAAGTTTTTTCTATAGAAAAAAATTCGCCGAACTTTAGGTCCAAGTTTTTTCTATAGAAAAAAATTCGCCGAACTTTAGGTCCAAGTTTTTTCTATAGAAAAAATTCGCCGACCTTTAAGTCCAAGTTTTTTCTATAGAAAAAAACTTGGACCTGAAGGTCGGCGAATTTTTTTCTATAGAAAAAAACTTGGACCTGAAGGTCGGCGAATTTTTTTCTATAGAAAAAAACTTGGACCTGAAGGTCGGCGAATTTTTTTCTATAGAAAAAAACTTGGACCTTAGAAAAAAACTTGGACCTGAAGGTTGGCGAATTTTTTTCTATAGAAAAAAACTTGGACCTGAAGGTCGGCGAATTTTTTTCTATAGAAAAAAACTTAGACCTGAAGGTCGGCGAATTTTTTTCTATAGAAAAAAACTTGGACCTGAAGGTCGGCGAATTTTTTTCTATAGAAAAAAACTTGGACCTGAAGGTCGGCGAATTTTTTTCTATAGAAAAAAACTTGGACCTGAAGGTCGGCGAATTTTTTTCTATAGAAAAAAACTTGGACCTGAAGGTCGGCGAATTTTTTTCTATAGAAAAAAACTTGGACCTGAAGGTCGGCGAATTTTTTTCTATAGAAAAAAACTTGGACCTGAAGGTCGGCGAATTTTTTTCTACATTAAAACATATATTGTTTTTGTACTTACCAGCTATACTAGCTCGACTGTTAGCTTGTCGAAGGGCGGACATCGGTATGCCTTGAGCACGAGAATCGGGACGTGATGAGGGTATACCACCAATGGCACGAAAATCCGATTCACTACGATATTTTCTGCAAAAAATGGAAAATAAATAAGAAAATTAAATTCCGTCAAACATTCACAAACCCAATATTTATTCTGAATGGAATGACAATGAAAAATAGTGAAATCAGAAAAAATTAAACGAATTATGGCATTGACTCCCATGGAATGCCTGGCTCGTGACTGTACCAAAAAATATTTTAACTCATTAAATCGGAGGTGTTAATTGGATCTAACGGCGACTGGAAATTTTGATGTTGATTTAATATATTAGGACTTGTTTGAAAAAAATTGCAATGCGTCATATTTTTTGGGAATATTTTATGAAATTAAAACTCATTGGAAGACAGAGGCGAGAAGGGAGAAAATGGTGGAAAAAGTAGTATAAATTGAAAAAAAATTGTTTTTCCAAAAAATAGGTATTATTGTTGTTTTATTTTCAAAAAGTGGTTCTACATTCAATTTTTCTGGCCATAACTATTTCTGTACCAATGATTCCGATTGGAATCCAGAGATCTCAATTAAATTTAGTACTATTTAGCACTTTTCGTACCATCATGTACACATTTTCAAAACAAACTCCATACCTCAACCTCAGTTACCTTTGTATCGAATTTTAGGATTTCAGCTCTATCTTTTCACCCATAACCTAATTTAATACCATTTAGAACTTTTCGTACAATTTTGGAACATATTTTCGAAACCTCCTTCATACGTCCAGGCTACACATTATTTGAGATTTCAAGCACTATGTATACACTCAATACTTTTTGTACAATTATTGTACACATCTACAAAATAACCTTCAAACCTTAACCTCAGATACCAACAGTGTCTCAATGTCAAATTTGAGGATTACAGTTTTATCCCTTCACATTTAGTACCATTTAGTACTTTTCGAAGAATTATAGTACACATTTCCAAAACAACCTTCATATCTTAGCCACAGACACCAACACCAAATTTCAGGATTTCGGCTATTTCATTTTCCCTATTGCTAAATTTAGTACTAATTTGTACAATTATCCAAACCAAATCCCTCTCTCCAAACACAAATACCAACAGAGAGCTCAATATCTAATTTGAGCATCCCAGCTCTATCCCTTCACCCAATACCAAATGTAGTACCATTTAGTACTTTTCGTACAATTAAAGTACACATTTCCGAAACGACCTCCATAAGTACAGGATACTATCCTAATACCAAGTTCCAAATTTCAAGTGCTATCTATTAAGCCAATACCAAAATGTACCGAATATAGTACTATTTAATACTTTTCGTACAATTATAGCACACATTTTCAAAAGGCTCCATATCTCAACCCAGATTCCATCAGTGACTTCAAAATATACAATTTTAGGATTTCAGCCTTATATCTTCACCCAATACCTAATTTAATACCATTTAATACTTTTCGTACAATTCTAGTACGTATTTTCGAAACCACCTCCATATGTCCAGGCTAAACATGAACAGCGCCCCTGACACCAAATTTCAGATATCAAGCACTATCTGTTCACCGAATACCAAATTGTGCCAAATATAGTACTATTTAGTACTTTTCGTGTAGTTTTAGCACACGTATTCAGAACGGCCTCATTGTTACAAACCTACAAAAAACAGGGACCCCAATACACAATTTCAAAAATCCAGCTTCATACGTTCGCCTTTAACCATACTGTTCCAAATTTTAGTACCATTTAGTACAGTTCGCAAACTTAGTACACAAACTTGATTCTTAACTAAATTTCTAGTTTTTAGTCCTATCCGTTCATATAGTATCAAATGGTACCATTTTAGAAGTTTAGTAAAATTTTAGAACTTTTCGTAGCCTTAAAGTTCGAATTTCCCAAAACGCTTTGATACGGCTATCTTGCACTCCATTAGTGACCCCCATTCCAAATCTCAGCTTATTCCGTTTGTCCAAGACAAAGTATTAAATTTTTAGAACATTTCAGTACTTTTCGTACCCAAGTAGCAGGATTTTTTAATTCTTTTTTATACCCTCCACCATACTATGGAGGGTATATTAACTTTGTCATTCCGTTTGTAACTTCTCGAAATACTCATGTCAGACCCAACAAAGTATATATATTCTTGATCAGCGTATAATTCTAAGTCGATTTAGCCATGTCCGCCTGTCTGTCTGTTGTAATCACGTTATCTTTCAAACGAATTGAGATAGAAGGTTTATTTTTCCAGTAGACAGGTAAATGGGCCATGTAGATCCACGTTTTCATATAGCACCCATATAACGGTACCTCCCGATATTCGGTATTTTGATGATTTTAGCGACATAATTCGCCGTAATTGTTTCAACTTTGGTATTTGAAGTTCGAAATGGCCTATGACAGAAAATTATCTGGGCAGGTCCACGTCTTCGTATAGCCCCCATATAACGGTACCTCCCAAAATTCGGTATTTTGATGATTTTAGCGCCCTTATTCACCGGAATTGTTTCAAATTACGTATTTAGAGTTCGTAATGGGAACTACAGTCTGTGACAGAAAAATGTCTATGCATTTCCAGTTCTTCGTACAGGCCCCATATATCAGTACCTCCCTATATTCGGTGTTTTGACGAGTTTACGTACAATACCCACCGAAATTGTTAATAAAATTTTTTAAGGATTTTAATTTTTTAAAATTTCCAAATTCGTTCCAAATGGTGGAGGGTGTTCAAAGTTTGACCCGGCCGAACTTACTGCTTTTTTACTTGTTTATTCTATACTTTTTCGTGTTGCCCAGTGTTTACTCACCTTAAATTCGGTGGTCCTCGACTGCGTGTCGTTTCGTTGTCACTGCTATCGTAACCCGAAGAGCCAGCCGTCGGACCGGCTGAACTGTCACGGAAACCGCGATTAATACGACCGCTAACACCACCACTGCTGGGACCACCTCTGGCACCGCCAGGACCGGGGCCGGGCCGATGGGAACGTTGTGAACCGGCATTGGGTGGGAAGACACGTGGTAGACCAAATTTCAGATATGTGTACATATTAGAGCCCAATGGTGATCTGAAATGACATAAAACAATGTAATGAAGCAGAAACAAAAGTAACAACAACAACCACATGTAGAAGCCAGTGGTTGCTGCAAAGCACCAGTTGCAGCTGCTGCCGCTTCAACTTACTTGGGTCCATAACGCGGATGATTGAGTATTGATTGTACTGTGGAATCGCGTAATTGAAAATTTCCATATGGCAGCGGTGATTTGTCCGAGGAGCCCAGGGCTGAGTCGGTAAAATCTGAATTCAAATTTTGCCTAAGAAACACAAAAGAGAATCAGAGAGAGAGAGAGAGAGAGGGAGAGAGAGAGAGAGAGAGAGAGAGGAATAAAGAGTTACATCAATAGAATTAAATTAAGTTAATAAACGGATGCGGTTTGGTTTGATTTGGCTACCAAACCATAGAACTTAACATGGCAAATAAATTACCCTGGGAGTGGAATTTTCAAAACAATGCATTTTCAGTTAACAAAAAACCAATTGAAATAAAAAACCAACAACAATTGAAATGTTGAAAGCCCAATCGATGCAATTTTATGATCACTTCCGTTCATTAGTTTCTAATCAAGCGTAATGGAGTTTTTGGTTCGCTTCCATTTGGGCTCAAACATAATTTTCGGTTGCCATTGGTTGCAACAGGTTTGATATAGATTTTTGGTTTTATGTCATAAATGATCACTCCAATGAAACGGAAATTGAAAACTGCACCTCTTTTCAAATTTTATTTTCAATGTTTGTTTTGTTCATTCTTTTTATACCCTACAACACTATGTGTTGAGGGTATTATAAGTTTGATTGGGCCAAAAATTATGTAACACCACGAAATATTGATTTCCCATATAGGAAAGTATATATGGATCTTCCTATCTCGCCGAGCTGAGCCGATCTAGCTATGTATGTCCGTCCGTCCGTCTGTCCGTCTGTCCATGTTAATTTGTAATCACTCTACAGGTCGCAATTATGGCCCGATCTTCACGAAATTTAGAATGGAGGTGGGGCTAGGGTCAGAATAGAACCCTATTTCTTTTGGAGATGATCGCCAAATGTTTAGGGGTTGAAATGGACCAAATACTAAAAAAAATTCGGATTTTGCAGTAGCTATACAGGTCGCAATTATAGACCAATCGACGCGGAATTTCGCATGTAGCTAGAGTTTAGGGCGGGGAAGAAGCCTACCAATTTGGGTCGTCATCGGATAAAATTTAGCGGGTAAAATAGACCATATATTTTTTGCTGAAAAAATTCAAAATTTTTCATTAAACCGCGAATATTTTATATCCCGGGGAAATCACAAAGCCATGACAAGGTTACTTCTGATCTTTACAATGATGTTAAGATCCAAAAAATCGAATATATAGCAAATATATGCGATATATATGTCTATCAAAGAAGATATGCTTGAAAGATCTTATATATGTCGAGAACGGCTGAACTGATTTCGACAGTTCTCATTAATTCAGAATGGCAGGAAAGGAAAAACGTCTAAGAAACGCATACAAATATCTCTCTAAAGACGAAAATATTGATTTTGTAATATTTTCTCATATTTTTTCAATTTTGTCATATTTTTGGCATATTTTCATTTTGAATTAAACATTTGGTAATATTTCTACAGCTAACAGAACTAAGTAGTTAGGATATCAGGATATCATATACAGATCGCATTTATGGCCCGATCCTTACGAAATTTTGCATGGGTATAAGATGAGGGTCAGAATAGAAGCCTACTCTTTTTGGAGATGATCATTATATATTTAGGGGTTGAAATGGACCAAAAAAACTGCAAAATGGTCAGGAGGTCATAATTATCGCCCGATCCTCACGCACATTTGAATGGGGATTACCGGACATTGCAAAAGCCAGGCAGTTTTGGATGGCCATCCAAAAATATTCAATGTGTGAAGAAGTTTGCCAACTTTTGTAGACAAAATACAAAAATGTCCATTCCAGTGACTTTTTGGAGAATTCACAAACACAGGAAAGACGCACTTCTGACTATTTCGTTAACGCTGATTTCGTTGAAGAATATAGTCAAATGACTGTATCTCATATAGATGCGTTTCAGTCAAAAACCAATAATAAATGTTAATCTTTTGCCACTTCTGAGAGATTATAGGTCTTTGGGAAATATTAGTTCCAGATCTAGGAAGACCATTTAAGTGCAACATCTACCAATAAATTGGAAATAAGCAAATTAGTTAAGGTTGTTATTATTCGAAAATTAGAGAACGAAACCTGACGGTTTTCTTTTATTATTTGTCACAATATCTTGTGGAATTCTTTCGAGTATCTCGCCTATATAAACTGTATCGTTTATTATAGTGTTGTAGGGTATTCAACGGTCGGCCCCGCTCGACTGTAGCCTTTGCTTACTTGTTTTCTTTCTAATTTATTTCATTCTATTGTTAATTCTTGTTTTTATTGCTTCCTACCTGTATATTGACCATGCATGCAAGTCTTCGGACGCTGCATGCGGCAGTGGTGAATTCGGTCCATGTGGCACTGAGTAACGCCTCTCCTCGCGTGACATTTTTTTCGTTGCACCAAAATTACTCAATTCCATGATGTTGGCTGGGTGTTCTGCAAAAATGAAATTGAAATGGGAAAATAAAAATGAAATTAATTAAAATTCAGTTGTTTGTTTTTATTTTTTTTTTTTTGGTAATAAATTTAATATTGAATTGAATTAGAGAGAGAGAGAGAGGTGTTTATATAAACTAGCTATTCAAAATGAGCGATTTTTTTGTCGATGTATATTGAGTAGGAAATTTAATGTGTATTGCTTTTAATAAGCCAGGCGGGACCGCTGTTCCTACAACCTTAAATTTTGTCATGTGTGGGGATAAGTGAGATAAGGGTTGATTTTTAGAAGTTCGAAATAAATTGATACTAAAAGTACAAACGGTTGCCCTCACGGCGTTTAGGGAACCAACCTTGAAATTTGGCAAATGGGTCACTTTGGTGTCTAGAAATGATGTGAGTGATTCTCAGCAACAACTTGGAAGCTCTATGAGAATATTAATTCATTAAAAGATAATGTTAAAAATACCTTATGCATTACCAGTAGGTTGAAAATTATGTCAGGATAGATGTACAGGGTGAGATAAAAAAGCAAGAAAGTCAAACGCCATAATTTTCACATTTTTTTTTAAATTTTATTGAATGAAAGCAAAAAATGTTAGAAATAGCATCAAATTTTAGAATAAGTTGTTGGAATCTCCAAATTATGCCCCCAAAATGTTTGCGTGCCAAAGGCTTGAATACACACTCCAGAATATTTTCGCTATAATATTCGGCATTTATTCTGATCACACGGTCGATCAATACGAGTAGAAACCGACCATCGGCTGTTATGCCGGACCACACCAGCACCATGGCCGGCGCTTGAGGTCTGCTGGCCAACCGAAGTTGCACATTTTCAGCTGATCTCTTTGGCAAGTAAACACGATCATTTTGTTTTTTCTACAAACTGCTGGACATCGAATGTTTTCTCATCGGAGAAAACTAAATTCGGCAGTTCACCACTTTCGGCCAAGCGTAGCAACTCTTTAGCTCTTTGAGTCTATTATCTTTCTCTTCAATGGCTTTACCCCGATCTCATTTTTATACCCTGCACCTTGGAAAGGAGGGTGTATTAACTTTGTCATTCCGATTGTAACATCCTTAAATAGTCGCCGTAGACCCCATAAAGTATATATATTAATAATCAGCATAAAATTCTAAGTCGATTTAACGATGTCCGTCTTTTTGTCCGTCTGTCTGTTGAAATCACGATACAGACCACATTATTTGATGTAGAGCGCCAAGATTTAGCAGAACAATTTTAATTGTGTCTAGGATGGTTGGTATTGAAAATGAAATATATCGGTCCACGTTCTGGTATAGTCCCCATATAACGGTACCTCCCGATATTGGATATTTTGATGATTTATGCTACATTTTTTCACGGATTTGTCTGAAAATTGGTATTTGTAGGTCATAACGGGTCCCTGTGCGGGTGGCAAAACATTGCATGTATAGGTCCACGGTTTGGTATAGCCCTCATATAAGGGTACCTCCCGATATTCGATAATTTCATGATTTATGCCACATTTTTTCACTGATTTGTCTAAAAATTGGTATTTGTGGGTCGTAATGGGTCCCAGTTCGTGTGGCGAGTCATTGTAATTATAGGTCCACGTTTGGTATAACCCCATATAACGGTACCTCCCGATATTCGGTAGTTTGATGATTTTTGCCACATTTTTTTACCGATTTGTCTGAAAATTGGTATTTGTAGGTCAAAATGGGTCCTAGCTCCTTTGGCGAAACATTGTATGTGTAGGTCCACGATTTGGTATAGCCCACATATAACGGTACCTCCCGATATTCGGCATTTTAATGGTTTTCTAATGCTTCCTTTACCCTAAGGTGGAGGGTATTAAAAGTTTGGCCCGGCCGAACTTAATGTTTTTTTACTTGTTCAATATTAGCCGAATGGATTATTGCGATATGTTCAGCTCACGAGCCATTTGTTGGCCACTGCGACGCGGGTTTCGATCAAGTCGCTTCTTTACTTTTTACTGTCTTCTTCCGTCCCCTTCTTTGTTGTCGGGCTGCGCTACCAGTATTACGGTAACGAGTGATGGTACGAGACACCCAAAGATTTATTCACATTTAAATGCTGGAGTGCTCTAACGATAGCCACGTATGGTTTCCAGCCAAATATAAAGAAATCATACTATCACGCTTGAATTCCATAACGAATAACTTTTTTCCTGGAACATTCTCACAATAAAGCTTATGTACGCTTGTAAACCATATAATGAGCTGCCACTGGAATAATTTTAACAGCTGTCGGACGATTGGCTTAGAAATAACAGCAGTCTGAAGTTGGTAGCAGTTTTTTCATCTCACCCTGTATATCATTTGATACGGCCAAAACGTGTCTCATCGAAATAACGGTTTAGAACATCGGTCTCTTTGGACCAAATCCCTTTCAGGATATTTGGGGTCGATCTAGAGATGTCCGTCTGCCTGTGTGGCTGGTGCGCACGATAACTCTCGAGGGGAGTATGCGATTTGGCCCAAAAACTTGGTACATCGTAATATTATTATCAAACTTAGATTGATTTCCAAGATGGGCAATATCGGTCCATTCCTTCTGGTACCTCATCCACAAAAGTTCGAAATTTTCAACCCACGGTCTGGTTTAGAAGATGGAATACATCGGTTCACTCCTTCTTGTAACTCCCCCACAATGGTCAAAATTTTGAATAATCAAAACGATTATAAAATCCGAAATAATCATCCGGTTCTCTTAACATTTCACACATCCCATTTTTTCTACTAACACTAGATCTGTTGTGAAGAAGGCATGTATCGGTCCACTCCTTCTGGTACCTTTCCCACAATGGGTCAGAATTTGAAATAGCCATGAGGCTCGTAAAACGCGAAACCAGCATCCTTTTCCATTCAGACTTGGTACATCTCAATATTTGCATCAGCACAAGATCTGTTATAAATGTTATAAATGGATGGTAGAGATCGGAACATTTCTTCACAGTGTTCAAATTCTCGAAAAACAAAACGCTCAAAGAAAGCGAGAAAAGCATCCAACTCTCTTCAAATTTCATACCTACAAACATTTTTGCTAACACAAGATCTGTTGTTAAGATGATATATATCTACCAACACCTTCTGATATCTCACCAACAAAGGTTCACAATTTTCAATACTTTTATTTGTCATTTACAACTTGCTATATCTAAATATTTCTCTCAACCAGAAACCTGAGGTGAATATGAAATTAATGATTTCCTATAAATTTGATATGAATGTTCGATTTTCTTGTAGATGAAGCATGAAAATCGAATACTTCGGTCGACTATGCCTGGAACCTCACGCACATGTTAACATTTTTTAAAAATTATCATATGTGTAGTGAAGGAAGTTACCAACCAGTTACCAAGTTACCCCATATTTATATCATATTTATTTAAATCCGATACGAAATAGACAATATTGGTCCATTACCTCAGAACCCACTCCATAGAGGTTCAAGTGTTGAATAATCATAACAGTCTGTCTGTCGGCAGAACCGATTTGATACTTTTTAACTTGTTTTAGCTCTACTTTCAAAATTTGCTGGATTTTCCCCGAAATTATTTCTAGTGTTGCAGAGTTTTAATATATTGTTAATATATTACTCAGTACTGTTGCAATTATGTCAATACCTTTTTCTGGGATGTAATGACAACAATTATTTTGATTTCTCTCCCTCTCTCTCTCTCTCTCTCGGTTTCTCTTCATCAATTTTATAACCGTTCATTTAATCAAAGTCACTATTATTGAAGAGTGGTCGGAAAAAAACAGAGAAGAAAAAAAAAATATTTTTTAATGGGAAATATAAACCACATCTACTGCTCAGACTGTAACTGTGTAAAAACAACAACGACAACAATAACAAATTGTGTGAATATCATATTTAAAATATTACGTTAGCAAAACGGAATTTGTTTTTTTTTGCTATAGCTATTGTTGTTGTTTACTTTTTTTCATAAATGATGACATTAGATCAACTAACCACACAATGGCAATGCCTATAGGGATGCCATGTTGTGATGGGGATGAAAGGGCATTTTTATAGAGAATTAAAAGGGATTTTATTCAAATTTCATAATTCGGCTTATAATAATGTTAAAATGCAGATCTCTGTTTATTCCTTAACCTTTGGGTCCTCGCAAATAGCGATTTTTTAGGGATTTTTGTTGAGAAAGCTTTAAAATTATTGGGTAAAATATTCACTATCCCCATGGCCTCTCATGATGTTTTGGATTTTTATAGGAATAAATAAACATTTGAATTTGCTAAGCTTTAATTTTCTAGGTACATTTTCGAAACTATTTTAATGCCCTCTGTAATTCCTATCTGATATGGCATCTCTATGAAATAAATACCCAACATCATACCATCATCGTCGTCATCATTTGGTTTCAAATTATCGTCATTGTTTTCGCTTCAGCGTCATCACCAACTGCATTATTGCCATCATTAGTCATTATCGCCAACATTGTTTGGCTCATCTTCATAATCTCCGTCCGCAACTTGCGACCATAATGTACCTAATTTGGCCTATAAGGCCGTGGGCAAATTCTCAGTCATATTTTGCAGTGTTTTTTTCTTCTGATGAAGTTTAACGGGTTTTTTCGGTAAGCCTCTTTGTTGCGGTATTTATTAGATAATTTGTTTTTGTCTTTGCTGGTTTTTTTTGTGAAGTACAATTTGCTCAGGGAAAATATTCTTCTTCTTTGAATCGTTGTGGTTTTGTTAATAATTTGTATGGTCGTTGTAAAATTACTTGAGAATTTGCAAAAAGTACAAAATATGTATTTTTGTTAATGAACTTTGAACGTGTGTAAATTTGAAAATAAGGCATTTGAAAGGGGCATTGAAAATTTTATAACGGGGCACGTTGATGAAAACCTCTTCAGGTAAATGGGGGACTTTTGTTAGGGAAGGAAGTTTAGAGAAACTTAAAGTGTTGGAGAACTTTCATCATCAATCATAAAAATACCGAACATAGGGAGATACGGTTATAT